TTACTATGCGTAATTCAATTCAAAAATCCGCAATATTGCAGATTTGAAAAAACAATTGCAGTACCATCCTTAGTTATGGGACATGCAAAATTTTTAAATTTTAGTTGTCGGCACTGTCGAATTATTAGGAAATGTCGGTACTAATCAAATTATTAGAAGTCTGTCAGCGCTAATCAAATTACAATTTGGCGTAAATAAAAAAATCCTGCAAATAATGTAAAAGTCTCATTATATTCTTTTTTATTATTGCACACAAGCTGAAAAAATATTCAATAACCATATTCAATGGCAAATAGTTGAGAAATCATTATTTGGTTTATCATGTAGGAAAATTGCAAAACAACTTGGTGTTAGCAAATCTTACGTATCTCATATTATGCAATATATTCAAACGTTTAGTTATGTTGAATAAATTCCCTCATCTTTAAGAAAGCTGAGATTATTGGATGCTAATAGTATGATATATCTTAATTTTTTGTTAAAAGAGAAAGTTGATTAGTACATATAAGAACTTTCAATCCCAAATGGAATCATAGTTGAATTGAAAATGCAGCTTATCTACTATTTGGAAAGCAGTTCACAGACTTGGATACACACACAAACAAGTATTTATATTAAATTATTAAATTTATTTAAATTTAATTATAATTCGTTAATATTATCATAATATTATCTAGTTATCCAAATTTGCAATAGAAAGAAATGAAAGGAATAGAGCAAATTTTATTTTAAATATTTCTCAATATACAGTATTACAACTTGTTTTTCCAATGAGTCTACATATGACAAAAGAACTCTTTCTCGTAGATATGGATGAAATATATCTGATTTTCATGCAAAAAACTTTTTTTTTATTTGAGAAAAATGATTTACTCTATGAAAAAAGTTATACATAATATAGGTTAAAAAGGGATTCTAGGACAAATTACCAAATCGCTTTCGAATCAATTTTAGCTATACAATTACATTATCAAATTCAATCTTCTAGCGTATTTTGAATTAATTCTAGATGATGATATCGAAATTAGCTAGAAATTAACCTTCAGATATCAAGAATTATACTGTTTGATATAACCATTCTAGCCTGATTTTAATCCCAAATAATATATCAAAAA